TTACTTTCCAATCAGATTTTTCTTTCTCCTGTTGTTTCTCCACTTTCACCTCTGAAAGTGGTCAGAGTCTGTGTGTGGGGTTGCTCAGCGGAGGATGAAAGGGTGGAAAAGGCTCAATTGTCATTGCTGGTGCGTGACTGAAGAAATGTATTCTTGTTGTTCTACACTGGAGACTAGAATACCTTTTCTCATAAAAAAAATATGATAAATGATTTTCAATGTAGATGAAAAAGTACTTCTAGTATAAGTATTCATGTACATATGAATTAAATGAGCTGTGTGAGCTTGCTTATAAATACAACCAACCATTAATTGAATCCCAGCAAAGATAATTTAAATTGAGCTTTTGGAATACAATTATAATTGTAATATGCCTTGTAGAGTTCATTTTTTTATGTATTTATGTTTTTTTCCTCTAATTATATTGTAAACTCCTTGACAGTACAGACCATCTCTTATACTTTACACTTTCGCACATCTTCACACTTAGGGATACTGACTAGTTGGCTAGAGGATTATTACAGAAGTGGCAGCCAGCAGACCATGGAAATCTTTAAAGTTCTTTTATTTTCTTTGATTCACCCCCTAATAGAGATACTAATTGTCCAGTGAAAAAAACTCAAACACAAAGGCTAAAAGAAATGGGACTTTGAATAATCCACTGATTTATTTTTAATGATGGTTGATTTATCAATTATCCTATAACTCAGCCACTCAGCTAAATTCTAAGTCATCAATAGAACTAAAGCATACATATGTCAAAATAAAACACAGAATATATGAATACATGACCATATGGCTATGTGTGTGCTTGTGTGCCTTAGAGTATATGATTCTACATTGTTGGGTATCTAGTGTTATTCTAGACTTATCTGTTTGTATGTTTGATTGGTTTTTCTGGCCTCCTTCTATTTGATTTTTAAGAAAAAGATATGAGGCAGACTTTAAAATAGAAAACATAATCCATAGATTACAAAAAATATTGGTAAACTCCCGTTATTCAATTTAGAATGATGTATAGCTCAGAGTGCCACAGTTCAGGGGGGCAAAAAATTGATATGTGTTGAAATTGAAAATGATTCTTTTATAAATGAAGCTGACCAACATTTCCAGCAAGACTGTTGCCTGAAGGAAAATTTCCTGGGATCCAGCCTCTGTTATGTCTAACAATGAACCATACAAGTCTGGACAGATGGTTGGATTCCAAAGTGTTTCTCATATTACAGTATTTTCTTCCTATTTTTTCTCCTAAATTCTACAGAGAAAGGGGAAAATGCTATAACTTTTAAAAAGTATAAAGAATATCTTTAGTACATTTTGGGGAGTCACAAGTACTAAACATTAATTATCCTGGACATCTCTTCTTCCTTTTTAAAAAAGCTTTCTTGGTTAAAGTCTGATTGCTTATTTTGGACAGCATGATTTATCTTCCATACTATCTTTATTGCTAGAAATACAAAATAGAAGATATATTTATGTCTTTTCCTAGAAGATCTCTTCTATGATCCCTGGCCCAAAGCATGGTAACATCATCCGTTCAGTTTTGAGCTATGGTGAGGCAGAAATTTGGGATTCATCTTTAAGACCATTCATATCCATCCAACACCAATACTGTATTTATTTCCCAAACAGCTCTCAGGTCTGTCCAATTTTCTCTTTCTCTAATACTATCACTCTGGTCCAAAGTCCTGATGTCTCTCACCAGGATTATTGCCATAAGTACCTAAGAGATCTACCTGCAGTCACCCTCTTCCTCTCGCCCCCGGTTCATACTACAGCCAAAACAGAACCATCTTTTCCAAATGCAAATCTGGTTGTGTTCCTACTGCTTCCAGTAGTTTCCTAGCACTCTGAGGGTAAACACAAAATCCTCACCTGGCACACAAGGCCCTACAAAGCCCCTGCCTCACTGCCTATCAATTTTCTCTTTTTATCTCTAGTTCAGCCAACCTGGCCTTCTTTTACTCCCTCTGTATTTCCTTCTGTGTTAGGGCCATTCCCCACCATTTTAAGTTCATTAAGCCCTGTTCCTCTTTCAGAGCTTAATTCAGGCGTCACATCCTCAGGGAAGCCGCCCTGCACCTGCCCTGGCCTTACCCAAATGGTTAAGATAAGTCTTATTGTTTGCCCTCACAAAACCATGTATCTTATCTCTACTTCACAGCACTTGGACAAAAGGAAGAGATTTATGATCCGGTGCATTAGGAATTGGGGTTTCAAGTGAGGAAACAAAAGCAAAGACGTGTATTTATTTAGTAATCAACCTCTAAGATTCAAGCCAACAATTCTAAACCACAGAGAAAAGTATACCTAAAAGTATTATATTTAAAGTTTCTTAAAAGAACCAGGAACTTTTCAGTAAATAAATATCAGATATTCTTCAGCAGTAGACAACCTGGTCTATCCAGACTCTTGCTGAGTATGTAACTGAAGACCTGGAAGGATCTTAACAATGGTTCTAACCAACACCTCAAACTACAGATGAGAAGAGTGAATCTCAAAAGTGAATCTCAGAGCTGTCATAAATAGTAAATGATAGAGAATGAAATGGAATTAGCCCACAAATATCTGCTGAGCACTATTACATGTACTAGTTTTCCTTCTTCTAGGTCCTCTTTTCATTGCTATGTACTGTCTCTGATTAAAACCTTTATAGAAACAGAGCAATTAAAGTTCACTTTAATTTGCCAGTATAACAGAAGACTGCTTCCTACCTTAAGAAGATGAAACAGCACCGATAAAACATGATCATAAGCCTTTAGACAACGGGGTGATGTGCTATTAAAATTATGCTATAATGCAGTTTTATTTCTTCATATATGAGCTCTTCATATTTTCATATTACACCTCTCTTTCTATAGGAAGTCCTTAAAAAAGGATCCTAGGAAAGAAAATTCCCTTATTGCTTTAATTTAGGACTTGAAGTGAGTGTCCTACTCACCCACAGCTCGTCCCAAGCGAAGTTTATTCTTAACCTTCTCAACAACCAACTGCATTTCTCAATCTCCGTACTAACTTTTCAGTATAGCCACCGTCTCCCCTTTTCAGAGTATGGTGGGAATGGGATATCATTGCTGCATGGCCTTTTGCTCACTCTAGTCCACTAATTAGCTCCCTGACCAGCCCTTACTGCTTGGTTCTTTACTTAGAAAGGCAAGCTAATGGCCAGTTTGTACCATAAAACATTGACTAATAAACATTTGAGGTAAAAGTGCTATTGAAAACCATTAAGCCCAAGAACCCAGTTGATGCAGGGATACTTTCTGAAATGCCTAAACAGAAAAGAGATTAAGGATCAGCCCTAGTGGCCTAGTGGTTAAGTTCAGCGTGCTCTGCTTTGGCTGCCTGGGTTCGGTTCCCAGGTGTGGACCTACACCACTCGTCAGTGGCCATGTTGTGAGGGCAGCTCACATACAAAAAGAGGAAGATTGGTCATAGATGTTAGCTTAGGGTGAATCTTCCTCAGCAAAAGAAAAGAAAAATATATATATATATATACACACACACTTACGTTTAGATGCTTCCAGTAACTAATTCTTCACAATCTCATGTATGTGAATGCTCTTTCAAGTAACAAGAATTTTGTGTTCAAGAACCCTGCTTGTGTTCCTCATCAACAAATACATGATTCTTTTAATGAAACAAGGTTGTAGCATCCTAAAACTTTGCTTTGACAGTTCTATGTGTGTAAAGAATGTATGTGTTTGTGTATGTGTTTTAAAACCCAATGCATACAGAATATACCAGCCAGGTTAGAATGAAAAATACAAAATTTAGATTACACTGTTAGCTCACACTTCATTTTCTGTTCCTGTTAAGTCATGGAATAGAAAAAAGATAGAAAAAATGTTTTCTTGCTGTTTCAAATTCAAAACCAACTTCTTAGAGTGAGCCCATCGGGTAGTAAAGCACGTTTTACCCCAACACCAACACAATAATTCACTACTTTAAATTTCCCATGATTACTTCACTGCATGGAGATGCTAGGAGACAGAGCGAGCAGCGCCATCTGTATGACTGTGACTTTCTTCCCTTTCAGGTTCTCTTGCTTGGGTAATAAGATTCTGCATGCCTTACAAGAACATCTAAACCAGACAGCAGCTCTGCTGTCTATTCTGGCAAACTCAGAAAGAGAATAACTTCCTTTGTTTTGTTTACAACGTACATTCTTTAATAAAAGAAAGGCAAACAAAAAGATCTGTTAATCAAATAAATTTTTGGTATTTATCTGTAAGGCATTTTTGTACTGTCAGTGAATTATTTTGTTTCTGAAATTACCTTGACTGCAATAGCTCATTACAATATACTCATATTTATGAAATAAATCTCTCAATATATATGTTAAATGGGAATATAAGTAGATCCATCCATTCATATGATAGATTCATCCATATTATAGATCTAGGAAACCGGGTTTTCTGGGACATCGTTTCTCTATGTTATTTAGCAATGTGCCTGACAGTGAAGAGCTTTAAATTTGGCATCTGGCATTGCCTATCTTGGTCCAAATTATATGATGCTAAATACCATGAAGAATACTGCACAGGGGAAATCAGTGGTGGGTTATGAGAGTGCTAAACTTCATATGACCATGTGCTTGTGTCTGAATATTAGAACTGTTAGCCAGATGCTTCCTGTAGGCTTCCAAAGAGGCAGAAAGTGTGGTACCACTGGGATCCAGAGGCTCTGATGTGAAGTATGCAGAAGATACATAAATCATAGGGAATACTCATTTCACTCAGCTCTGTGTGATTCCACTGGCTTCACCGTGGGTAACGGGGTCTGCACCAGGACCCTCTCCCTTCTGCTCTCCGATGCCTTCGAGGTGCTGCCCATCTAGACCAGGCCTGCAGTCATTTCACACACTCCCCTAATAAAGTCCTCAGGGGCTGTCATGTATTTTCATGTGTTTGCCCTATTATCCCTCCCTGCTTGAGTCTTACACATAATTGATGATGCTTCAGTTAATTATCTTTCCCCCTCTTTTGTTCACCAGGTACTTCGGCCTTGAAGGGGCTCTTTTATTGAGAATCGATGTCTTCTCCTAAGTAATTGATCACCGTAGACCCAGGGACACTTGACTCATCGTCAGGGAGGGTAACCATCATGAATAATCAGAAAGCTGTGGCTGTGCTGCTGCACGAGTGCAAGCAAACGCTGGACCAGCTTCTGTCGGAGACGGCAGATGTGTCCGAGGAGGACAAGAGCGAGGACCAGCGGTGCAGAGGTGAGGTCCTGACAGGAGGCGCTGAGGGGAGGGCAGCCCGCAGGTTCACTCTCCTCTCGCCAGCCTGAACGACACGTTCTCATCTCTGCCCTATTTTTCTTCTCTTGGCAGACGACCACCGAGAGATGAGTGGATTTCTAGGGCATGAATGGGACACGGGCTGCGGGCGGATGGGCATGGGAGGAAGCCCACTTTGTTGCAGTGAATTGCTGTCAGTTCTAATTTTAGGCTTCAGTAAACATGAGGCTACAAGAAACAGTTTAGTTCAAGAAGAACAAAGGGTCCAAGTGTGCTGGTGCACATAAATTTCAATTATTAAAAAATTGAAGCAACTTCCGAATGATGGCACATACTTTTTTACAAACTAGGCTTTTGTGCCTCATCAGTTTCCATAGACTTCTACGGTTTCCATAAATGTGTCATCTCATCTGTCCAATCTCTCCTTTTTTTTGATCATCAATGTATTTCTCATGTTGTATTCACATGCCATTCGTAAAATAAATCCACTCATACTGATAAATATTTAGAGCAACATTATCAGGGTTTAAGAACTTGGCTTTTTGCTCATTTTATAGTTTGTGCCATTCATAGTTTTAGATGAGTCATTGTTTAGGAAGTTTCAATCACAAAGTCCAGAAAGTTAAAGCAATTCTTATTTCTTCTTTAGCAAGTTTTAGAGAGGTAATCTTTTTTCCTTAGATTTCTTTTTAGCATTCAAATAAATTTTCCTCCATTTCTATAAATGTGTCCCTTTTATGTGTTTTTAATATTTTTTTTGGTATTTTTAGTGATTTGCTTACTTTACAGAAGTAAGATTCCCGTATAAAACGCATACCCCCCATCTGTTCTGTTGTTGTTGTGATGACGTGATGGGAAAAGTTCTGGTAGAGAGTCCTTTCCCCATGTTCTTGTATACAGGTGCTTTTAGGTGCCTGTAGAAGTCTTAATTTTCTGTAACCTGTCATTCATGTAACCTGTGCTCCTTTCAAGATAAGATGCCCCATGTCCAGTCGTTTCACCATCTTAGTTTAGGCGTTTCTTTCTTTACTAGCCTGATACGCTAGTGTGAGACTTGGCTTGTCAGTTATACGTGCCGGTCATCCTGAGTGCACACAGGCGGGTGTCAATCTTTGTCAGGTACTGGCGGGTACTCAGCACCCCCAGTAATTCTCAAGTGCTGGTCCTAGTTCTCCCCAGGGCCAGTGTGTTCTGTTCTGTTATTTCCACTGAAGTTTTTCTCTTGTCCTTTTACTACATCACGTCCTTTGTCTCTTTAGCCCCAATTTCTTTAAGCTTTGTGTTCTCCCCAGTGAAGACTCTGAGCCCCTAGTCAGGTAGCATTTTCTTCCCAAGTGCCACAGAATAAGAGAAATAATCAGTTTAGTTCCAGATAAGGCAAATCACAGCTGCGAAATCACTCAATTAGCCAGGGGCCTTCAGGTAAGCTGCTTGGGGAAGTAAGTGATCAGAGAGGTAGAGGAGGTTCTGCTCAGTCAGGGCTGACTGCTGGGGTTGGCTGAACCCCATAAACCAGCAGGGAGGAAACTCCTATGCTGAGCCATCGACAGTCTCAACGTTAACCATCCCCACGGCTGCTCTGTGGTCCACTGAACACTATTGGCGCAACTGGATGCAGGGTGAACTCAGACCCCTTCCCTTGGCAGGTGGTTTCTGAGCAGCTCCAGTGGGCCAGTTGTGCCACCACCAGCCACTGCATGTGCTCCAAGAGGAAGGCATTAGTACAGGGTCCCTTATGGCGACAGGGCAAGCCAGCGGACTCCAACACGAACACTATGGTTTTTATTCTTTTCCCTCTTCTTCTCAACCCCATCCTTTTTCCTCAGAAATTGTCCCTGTCAGCATGGGTGACTACCCCTAGAAACTTCTCCAGAGATAGAGAAGGAACTGAAATCCAAACAGAGATATATTGTTAAAACGTATTTCAGAGGCATCTTCTATTTCAGTATGCCCCATGGCCTATCCACGTCCTGGCATGACCTTAGGAAAAGGGTGGTGTGAAGGAGGCAAAAATCAGTTGTAAAGAATAGATTTGCTCCATCATCATGAAGAAATTTGAAAATATTTAAACTATTCAGTGCCAAAATATGGTGAAATTCTATGAATCCAGAAATCCCATTTCTGTTGTCATTTGACTGCTCATTTGACCCCTAAGCTTGACATTCGCGGACAGAGTGAACAAATAATTTATCAGTCAAACTGGGACACTTTTGAGAGCACAAAGGAGTGCTTTACTAAGTACACTAGGACCACATAGGAATGTCCTAAGCAAATAGGACTGAATAGTCATCCTGTTCCCAACTATTTAGAAATGTCGTTTAAGAAGTTCTCCCTACGTATATCTTGGAAACATTTTCAGAGGTTGAAATTATGTCAGTGGTGAGAGAGCCAGGCTTTCCAGCAGATTGTGACCACGTAGGTCCCTAGCCCCACGTCTCTGCTTTCGTTGGAGGAGTGCTGTTCAGCATAGGTGCTCAGTAGCTCTGAGGTGATGAATAGAAGGAGGGTGATTTCAGGGTGATATCTGTAAGTCATCCTCAGTGGTCAATCTGGATCACTTATTGGTGTGGTCCGTATGATATCCACTCAACGCCAAGCAGTCCCTCCCCATCAGGAGATTTCCTTACATTTCTGCCTTCTCTTCTTTTCATTTTTCACTCTCTCTGTCATATCCTTTTTGCCCTGTTTAGCACATCTCATGTAGAGATAAGACTAATCCTTCTTTTAATCATCATGGTGTGATTTACAAAAGTGATAAGATACGATGACTGTCTTCAGGGATCTTGAAGCCCAGTGAGAGCACAGATGTGGTTACAGAGCAGTGGGATGAAGGCTGAAAGAAGCATGCACCTAGGGGCTCGGGAGCACTCAGGAAGGGCATCTCAACCCCACTGGAGTTCATGGCAGGCTGACCAGAAGCGGCCATGTTTGCACTGAATGCTAAACTCAGTGGGCCTGAGCTTGATCGCCAGGGGTTGAAGGAGGGCAATGCAAACAGCAAGGATGGGATGTGCAAAACCGTTAGAGAATCTTATGCAGGGCCGTGGCCTGGTCCATCTTGTTTTTGGCAAAACGGGGATCAGCAATGTGGAAGATGGAGTGGATGGGGCGAGATAGGAAGCAGAGATTCAGACAAGAATTACTGATAATGAAAAGGAGGAAATGGATCTTAGGATCCACAGAATTGGATAATCAGTTAGGTTCAGGGAGGAAGAGAGAGCAAAAGCCCTGACTGACCCCAGGGTTTTAGACTTGGGTAACTCAGAGAATGGTAGCATTCATCAAAACAAAGAATAGAGAGAGAAACAGATTTAGAAAAAAGGCGATGAGTTCACTTTTAGATATGTCAAGTCTGAGATATCTGCAAGAGAAGCACCTAGAGATGTGTAGCTGGCAGTCCATATACAGGTCCATAATCCCTTATTCAGAACCCTGGGACCCACAAGTGCTTCAGAATTCTGAATGTTAGGAAGATAGTATGGTGCACATACTATCTGTTATATTCACATTCCAGCAGAAGCTGGGGCAGCATCTATAGTCAAACATTAAAATTTTGCAGCAAAATCTTTAACTAATCTCACTAGGTAGGATAAACAAGATTGTAAACGGCCTCCAGTCAATTCAAGTCTGGTTTGAGTACCAAACTTAAGAAAAAAACCTTCTAGTTTCCAGAGCATTTGGGGTTTCCCAAGTTTGGACAGGAGATTGTGAGCCTGTGTAAGTGGGCTTGGCACCCATAGAGAGATTGAATGTATCTACTAATGTGAAATAAGGTCATTTCAGAACAAACTGATACCATTTCCAATTTCATTTGGGTTTTTCGTCTTCAACGTCTCCATTCAAATGTAGTCCACAGTGAAAGTGCGAGGCGAGGCGAGGTCTTGGAGAAGTACGAAGAGCTTGTACAAATTGACTCTGCGTGACCCAGCTGCCGCAAGCCCCAAATGCCATTCCATCTCAGTCCCTTTCTCATTTTACAGGGAAAATAATATTTCCTCCATTCCTTTCTCTGATTCTTCATGCAGAGATGGTCACTAAAGTGCTTTGCTTCCTGCTAAAAACCTTTCTTAATGCCTGACTACCCCAATCTACCTGTAGGGCAAAGTAGACCAGGGCCCGCCTGACAAATAGCTTTGCGCTATTATCCTTCGAGTCAGAGCCACCAGCTCAGACTATCCAGCAAGAGGTAGAAAAACATTTTTTGGCCACTGAGGTGCTTCAACATAACATTGGTAACTCAACAGCCTTTTCTTTGACTGCAATTTCCTTACCTGAACTCTGACCTTTTCAGCTTCACTCCCCAGCGAATTAAGGACCCTGATCCAGGAGGCAAAGGAAATGAAGTGGCCCTTCGTGCCTGAAAAGTGGCAGTACAAACAAGCCATGGGCCCAGAGGACAAAACAAACCTGCAGGACGTGGTTGGCGCCGGGCTGCAGCAGTTGCTGGTAGGAAGAGCCGCACCACCTGTGCCTCTGACTCCCCAAGTGAGGCATTTAGCCTCTAAGCGGTCTAATAGATTAAATTTCTTTGAAGCATCAGACAGCCCCTATCCTTACGGTCAGCTCTGCCAGATTGACTAATGTGGGGAAATAGCTTTTAGAAAGCGTCTCTTGCCTGTAAGACCGTCTGTTGGAAAGCCAAAGCAAGTAAAAGTGAAGAAGGGTGGTCAGAGGGTCTAAGGAGAAACCTGTCACCCTGAAGTATTTACAGATCCTCAGTGGGCCAGAAGCAGTAGTTCGATTCTGCCATGCCTCATAGAATTTTTATTCTGAAATGCTCCTTTCTAAAAGTTGGGTAGCTTAAAGACAAATTCACCACTGTTTCATCAATGTGACTTGCTGTCTGAGCTATGGAAGTCTGGCACGTCCCTTCCCAGACCTGGGATCCTCTTCATTCCCTTATTTCCTCATGAGGCAGGCTGTTCAGGAAGCGTCAAGTCAAAGTCATTCACATGCTTCTTCCTCAGCTCACCTATTGGAAATTAATCAGCTCAGACCTCCAGCCCGGACAGGAGTGGGCCTCAAGAATAGCACATGCACTCGGATGGGAGCTCAGACTTCAGGCTCAGGCTCTGGGGATGCCACAAGGAGCGCTGTTGTCCTTTTTGGTAGCATTGTTTTTTACCTACATTCTCTCAGATGATTGTCAAGAAAGAGAGTCTATTAACTTATATGTATTTTTTCTCACATAATATATATATATTTGTCCAGAGACCAGGCATTACGAGCAATGACAATATCCTATCATTTTTATTTTATCAGTTTTCCTGGGAATGTGTTTTTGGGTCATCCTGAAATAAATGTATAGATATTGTCTTCGCCTATCAAAACATAAATCCTGGAAATATCCCCTGATCTGTGTACACATTACAGCATCTTTGGAGACTTAATAGAAACCTCCACGTTTCCTCCCCCGCTAAAAAAACCAAACAGACTGGGGTGAAGCAGCCTGGGGTCTGCAGGCAAAGAGAAGTGAATACTTGGAAGAATGCAGTAGAGAGCCAGCGGGTTAAATAAGTGTGCTTGGTATCGGTGGAGAGCTGGGACGGAGTGATAACTATAGTCTGTATCTCTCTGTAGAGTTTGCAAGGTGCTTGCACATGCATCATCTCCTTTAATTCTCAAAATAGCCCTCCAGTGATTATTACCATTATCATCCCTATTTTACAGATGAGAAGATTAAGGTGCAGGGAGATTAGCTTGCCCAGGTGAACAGACCCGTGAGTGGTCTGACTGTGACTCAGAGCCCCTTCCTCCGTCCCACTTCCAATTCTCCCTCAGGAAGCCCCACATGAAGAATTGAAAGCACAAGTAGAAGCCCTGAGACCTGTTTACTCTAAAGCGAGCTATAGGCTTCCAGGAGAACTTTCTGTAGTGAGGGAAATGTTCTGTGTCACCGCTGCCCAACACATTAGGCCCTGGCCACATGTGGGTCTTGAGAACTTGAAATGTGGTGAGTATGGCTGCAGAACTGAATGTTTAGTTTTATTTACATTTTTAATCAATTTCTATATAAACAGACACATGTGACCAGGGCTGCTATTTTACTGGACAGTGCAGCTCAAAAGCAGTGATGCTTAAAGGAAGACCTCCCGACAATAACACTAGCATTAGCTGGAAGCTTGTTGGAAATTCACATTCTTGTGCCACCCGCCCCCCTCCCATCTTACTGAATCAAAAACTCTGGGGGTGAGGGTCTGGCAGTCAGCATTAGACAAGCCCTGCAGATGATTCTGATGCATGCTGGGGTTTGAGAACCACTGTCTTAAAGAAGAGAATAGTGTGCCGAGTTAGGGGGGAAGTCAGAGAGGCTGATCAGGGGTGTGAGTGGAGAAGAGGAGAGGAGGAGAGGGGACTCCAGAGTGAAGGTGGTAGGAGACCAACCAGAGAAGTCTCTTCCCCATCAATTCCGGGAGCCGTCGTTTAGACTGGAGCCAGTTCGCACAGAGCTGGTAGTCGCTTCACTTGCTTGGAAAGCCCTGTGTGATCCGGCTGGTGGCATCTAAGAACTTCACAAGCCTTCCAAGGAAGTTGACAGTAGGACAGCTGCTCAGAGGGAGGGACCCTTATTTTGACCTTTAGGGCTTAGAAAGTTCCTCTGAATTTCGAACATGGGCTGAGAGGCCGAGATGTAGCACCCCACTACCAGGGTTTCCCCCTCTTGCTCCATCCTGCACTCACCAGATCCCCCTCCCTGCATTCAAAGCCAATAGTGACATTAGCTGAGAACTGAAGATGGTGTTTTAAAACATTTGTCTCGCTGCATTTGGGGGTTAGTGTGAGTTGGGAGACAAGCTGCTTGTAGTTGTTAGACTGTTTTAAGAGTCCATTTTATTCCTTCTACCTTCCCACTATATATTGCACAGATGTGACAACTGGGGGAAATAGAGGCACGGAGAATTTAAGAAGTTTGTGCCCAGCTCACAAGCTCACTCAGTGGCAGCTCTAAGAATCAGTTCATTAGGCTTCTTTAGCCCCTAATGTATTTAACCTGAGAGCTTTTAGAACTCTGAGCATCATTTTCTTTAGCTTACCCAGCAAGCTATAAATTAAGCCACCACACCTCCTCAAGACTCTTAGAATGCTTTCCTATTGTGTCAGACCCCAAGTGCACAATTGCTAACCCACTCTGTTTTGTAAACACAGAGAACTATAGCACCCTGTGAACTCATGATACTTTTAACATCTTAGTCTGTCAAAAGTATCTTGAATAAATTCCATAATTAGTTTTTGTCCCATTATCCGTTGGTTTCAATATTATACTTTACTGAAGCCAGATGACCATGTTTTAATAATCAATTAATTGTGAGATTCTGTTCTCACATAAAAAATAGTTCAAGGCTGCTGAGTTTGTCTTTTCCATTGTCTTATCTCTTCTTAGTGTTTTTTCATAAATCTAAACTTTCCATGATTTTTTTTTGCCTTGAAATCAATCCTTCCCATGAAAAGTTTCCCCTCCATTTTTAAAATTAGCATTACACTTGGAGTGTAGACATTGTGCCTTTTATGTTATTTCCACAAATAACAGCTCAAAGTTAAGCATAGAATTGTGCTCAGTGCCTGAGTTGGTGAAATTAAGGGTCATTTATAATGTTACTCTCTTAAGCTGAACTTAAGGAAAATTATATGTGTTTTGTGCTTTGCTTTCTGTTCTCCACTGCCTCCCCCGTTTCCTCCCTCCCCGCTCCCCTCTTCTCCTCCCCCACCCCCAGTCTTTTCTCCTTTGGTGTGTGGCCACAGACAGAAATTTATGGCAGAGGCCAACCTCCTTTACACTCTACACAAAGCTTGCTGACTTGAGAGGGTTTGTCCGCTCTCTCCCAGAAAAAACACCTGCAGTCAGCACCCGGAGAAACCTGGAGAGATGGGAGATTAATGTGTCTGTAATGGCCGGGCAGCATTTGCACATTATGCCCTCTCCCCAGGTAGATGGGTCTTCCCGAGACGATACCAATTATTTATTGCTGAAACATCTGTTGATAACTGCAGCTGCCCTGTGAAACAAAGCATATCACAGGGTCACAGGCTATGAAACCCTAAAATCCTACCTCATGCTAGTTTTAGACTATTCAGTAACACCCTCAAGTCCATGGGTTACCATCATCTGTAACGTCTCATCGCGCCATAGAGAATACTTTGTAAACACTGCAGTGCCCCGCACTACAGGCTTTGAAGTATTATTTCATCCTCATCGCTAATTTATATTCCAGTGCCATTGTACTGTGGGAAAAAGAGGGGGAACCTTTTTTGTTTTCCATTTAATTGTATATCGCCTGCCACTTTGACCTGTATTATTAGTATTAGTCAGAAAAAGGATTTTCTCCCTCTCTTATTTAAAAATAAAATTTCAAGGGAAAGTAAGCGCTCCTTCAGCTCTTTTCACTCAAAACAATGTTTACACTCTGAGAGGGAAAGATGAAAAGCACAAGCAATTTTTTTCAAGTGTCGGAGAAGGGCATTTCAGTTTCTGAAAGAGAACAGTAAGGCCCTTATAAATATCATTCAGCAAAACCTTTGATGGATTTTTCAAAAAGTACTGAAGGCATTTAGCCTGAGCTTCAGTTTAGCTTGGTTTTCGGCGGGCGCAGGAGAGTTCTAACTAGGAAACCCGTCCTTGCTTCTGAGGTGCCAGGGAATGAAGGCACCGGCCTCGAGGTGAATGCCAACTTTGTAATTTCTTCAGTAACTTTCACACTTCTAAGAAGGATGATTTCTACACAACTAAAAGAAAATATGATAATAAAGTTTTTGAACAGGAGGTAAAGGGCATGTTTGCATCTGCGTGTCTGTGGCAGTTGGGAGCAGGCTGGGTTGCGAGGCCAAGGAGAGGTGTCTGATAGACCCTGGTTTTGAGCCTTCCCTGCAGGTTTGGGGGTCCTGATGCTGTTTGGGGCTGGCCTGTCCCCAGCCCTGTTTCTGTGGAGGGAGGGAACTGAGTTGAGCGTGGTGCCTCTGCAGGAGACACAGGGTAATTTTTATAGGTTGGCAAAAGTACAGTCCGAGGAAATGAAGCAGGCTCAGAATGAGGATATTTTTTCCATTTCCTTTCCAACTTTACAACCATGAAAACGAGTAATCTGATAACTTTTATTCCACAAATGTTTTTGGAACTATCTGTGCTTCCTTGCAGTAATTTGAAGAGAGACCAAAAAAATAAATGATTAGTTGTTTTCTTATGCTGTCCTGGGTGAAAAATCTTTGTGGGTATGTCAGGTTTGATAAGTTTAGTTTTCAGAATATTTTTTCTAATGTCTCTTCGGAGAATCTTGATGCTTTTAACTTATTGATATTTTTATTTTTGAACTACTTAAATATTAAAGGGCCAAGAGTTAAAACATAAATAAACATGTATAAATATAAGAGTTGGTCATGACAAGATTTCAGGGAAATGTTTTAAAAACATCTAGTGTGATTAACCTGGGAGCAGAGAGGGGAAAAGGGTCTTT